CCCCAAAGTTAAGGTGTTTGCACAAGCTTTTTGAAGGGAAAAAAGTGTTTTTGAGTAGAGGCAGATCAACTTTTTAGATGCAGAAAAAAGTAGTTTCTCCCAAAAATACTTTTTTTGAAAACACTTTTGAGAAAAATACACTTAGAAGCGCTTTTTAAAAGCTTGGCCAAATACTAATTGATGCTCAAAAGTATTTTTCAAATTAATTTGCCAAACACAAACTGCTTCTCACCAAAAGTATTTTTTTGAGAAGCATTTTTTAGAAAAACACTTTTCAAAATAAGCTGATTTTAGAAGCTTGGCCAAACAGGCTATAAGTCTCTCAGGCTAACTGCAAGAAATTATTTTTGTATACATATGTTATCATCAAATAAAACGGAAGCTAATTGATTGGCACCTTTGGCTATCACCTTGAGCATTGCTTCTCTTACTGAAGAGTTTGGTAAAACAAATGATATTTCGCTGCGATGGTCTTTTTGTACTCATATTTTCTCACAGTCAGCAAATTTTGCTATCCGATATCTTGATTTAATTTCTTTTAGCATTATTTACAGAATAATCTTAAGATTTATTTCCTTTAATTAAGTGTTTCTTGCCCTACTCGCAAAAGTTTTTTTCCTTCATATTCTAGGTTTGAACTTTTTGCCTGTCAATGTGCTCCATATATACAGATGCTGGAATCTTGCATCCTTTAACATTTGTCATTTCTCTCCTTGTTTCCAGTGTCAAGGCATAGAACTCTTATGAACTTGTTTGACAAAGTACCTATGGTTGCTAAAGATGCATTTGTGGCCCCAAGTGCTTCTTTAATTGGTGATGTTCATGTTGGACGTAATGCTTCTATTTGGTATGGATGTGTTCTGCGAGGTATGTTCTAATTTCATACTATGGTAGAATCCGTGCTTAAAAGTTTTCTTGTAAGGCTTAATGGGTCGTATGCTGGTTTTGTTGCATTAGGTGGAAAACTTCTTTATCTTCTTTCTTCTAGGTAAGCGTTTAATTATACCTGTTGATTATGAAACATATAGATTTTCAACACTCCTGGAGACATTGGAGTAGGGTGAGCTAAAAAATTCCTGTATTTGGAAAAAGGTTAAATGCTTTCTTGAATGTATGAGGGAGGGTAGACACTTTGAGCTGCATCTTTTTGATAATTCATAAGTAATGTTATTAATACTGCTCTAAGAAAATCATATTAGGATGCAACTGCATTATGGGTTCTCAAGCTTTGTAATCAAAGCAACCATTTGTCTTTTACCAGTTCTCACTTTAGAAGGTGGTATTTTGTTAATATACTAGGCTTAACTCACAAGAGATTGTTTATTCTCTAACTCGTTGACAATCCAATTCTTTTCTCTAACTCGCAGTTCTGATGTTTATGTCAAGACTTTTGTCTGAGTAGGTGGTTTATTAGAAAAGTATCCAGTGGATATAACCCATATACATCCAGAATAAATTAACCAAAATACTAACTTTGACCCTCGACCAGCCACCCTTGCTGCGTCATTCAAAATCCAATATACCACCTTCAAACAAAAATAAAGGATAAACAAGAACTGTTATCTCAATTCAATTTAATTCTCCGTCAACTCTTTGCTGTTGTTCTTGTTGAAGCTGCATTCCTACTTTCTAAGTCCGCACCCTTATTTTGCTTCCTTGCTTGCTATCCAGAATTTTCCTTATCAGTTGGTTGACTATCTTCTTGCCAACCCTTTTCAATGTTCATTTTAAGTTTCTTTGGGTTTTTCTCGTTTGACCCCCACAGGACGCCTAATAGATTTTCCGAATTCCCTAAGTTTCCGCCATTCTTACTATTAAATTACCTCATTACTTTATTCCACTTTCAGTTCTTATGGTCATACATTTTCATAATCTACTTGTAATTCATTATGAGCTGTCTGTTCTCCATCATCATATTCTTACCCATTATGCTTTGTTGCTTCTGCTTCAGTATCATGGCCAATTCAATTCAATGTTATCAAAGGTGAAAAGCGCAAAAAAGCTCTTAGGTCTGTTGGGGCTTTAAGCGCAAAGCGCAAATAAAGTGTGGGCTTTAATGAAGAAAGGCGTAAATGGAGAAAAACTACAAATATGTATGTGTAATCCAAAACTAATATCTATAAGCATGAATACCAAATATATGGAGAAAGAAATTGAAGAAAATTTACGATAAAGTGAAATATTAATTGTTTAATGTCGCATCTTCGAGATTACGTTCATTGGCAAAGGGAAAGGTATGCCTTAGAGCCTTGATGAAAACAATGAAGCGCCCGCTAAGCGAGACGAAATGCTCAACATGTTTTGAGCCTTGCTTCAGGGCTTAAGCGCGCCTTTGACAACGTTGATTCAGTCCCCCACTCCTGTTCACTATTAGCCTCCTTAATTGAAAATAATCGTCCCCATCTCCAGAGCATCCTCTTCAAAATCCATAAATTTCCTACATGGCGGAATGTTGTTTGTCTATGTTATGCTCTAGTATCAGAGATTCCTTGGAAATTGGATCAATTTTTTAGTTGCCGGTTCAAACTTGAAGTGTTTAGTAACCAGTTGGCACCTATTGTCCTGCTTTTTCTTTAATCGATCCTATCCCATTGTCATCTCTGCCAACCCTGTTTGTGGTTGTATAATCATTCAACTCTTCGACCTTTCAGTTACCACCTCTTCTTTTAACTGATTTTGGTTGTTCAGCTGGGCATCATGAAATGCCAGCTTAATATATGACTTCCACATAACAGTTGGTTGTCAATTGTGTGTGGCTTGGCCATTACTGTTGAGCATCTTCTTCAAGACCTGGCTTCAATTGAATTGGATTTTCTATGTCGTGAAACAACGACCTTTTACTTAGGGCGAATGTCCTAATGCTTTTGCATGGGTCTTGTCACTACATCAGGCCTGAATTCAAGATCCAACCATCTTTATGCCACATATTCATGTCTGTCTCCTAATGCAATGTTACTCTCGTCGAAACTCCAAAAGCAGAGCACCTCTAGCAACAGCACATCTCTCCGCAATCTCCACCAACTCCACCTCGAAATGAATGGAGTAGCATCTCTTGTCATCAAGTACCACAACATATCATCACTGGGAAGAACTTTTTCCCTATTACAACATGTTGCTTCTCGTCACCATTTTATTCCTTCTCCACCTCACTGGAGCTTCCTGTTGCTCTACTTGGTCAAAAGTACCTTTCTTTTTGCGAGTGCCCCCATATCTTCAACAAATTCTGGATGTTTAGTTGATTCCGTTCTTATCTTCCGTTCCAACCATTTTATGGTATTCTATGGTGGTTTCACTACCTGTCAGCTTCAACCAAAAAAAAGTCCCTTTATGGTATATGCTTTGCGGACCTCGATTCCCATTTTCATTGGCAGATGGTTTTATGCCAATCTTGGAAATTCCTCAAATAGTCGGAGACCATCTTGGTTTCATGCCGTCAAAGAACTCTTCTTTCACATAACTCTTGCCCTTTGAAATATAGAGAAAAATGAGCCTCCTTGTACATTTGAAAGCTGCCCAGTAAATATAATGAAGAATCCTAAGTGAACTATCATATCCCTATTGCGGGATTGAGGAAAAGATCTCTTTTATACCGAATATTAATTTTCCTACGCTTGGACATTTGTGATTAAACTGAATTACCACAATGTGTTATCTGACAATATGTATATGTTTGAAAAGTGTCCTCGCACGGGATGCGAGTTCTGTGACTTTCCTGCCTTCAATATTTGCGCTCTTTAGTTTGGTTATTTTTGCTCAATGTGAGACATTGCATGCAGGTGATGTGAACAGTATTAGTATAGGAGCAGGAACCAATATCCAGGACAATTCTCTTGTTCATGTAGCTAAATCAAATCTAAGTGGAAAGGTTTTGCCAACAATTATTGGCAACAATGTTACTGTAGGTGAGGACTATTTTGCAAAGAAATAACGTACATCTGCCTTGAATAGTTGCAGTAACTGTGGTGGTTAACCTTTTGACATCCAACTTAATTGAAGGTCATAGTGCTGTCTTGCATGGATGTACTGTTGAAGATGAGGCATTTGTTGGTATGGGTGCAACTCTGCTTGATGGGGCAGTTGTGGAGAAAAATGCTATGGTCGCTGCTGGTGCCCTTGTCAGGCAGAATACGAGGATTCCTTCTGGAGAGGTTTGTGGCAACCTCAATTTAAGTTATTCATTTTGCTATCGTCATAGATATTGCCTAGAACATGCATCTAATTTCCAGTGTGAGTATTAACCAATATATGCAATCAGTGGTTTTAAAAGCTCATCACTTAAAGCGATGAAGCAATGTGAAGTGAGGGGTCATCGATTCATGGGTGAAACCATGTGCTTCAGATAAGTCTGTGTTTCAAACAATGATGCACAAAATGATCTCAATGAGAAACAGTTGCTTCTTTAAATCTTAACTTTGGGGAGTTAATTAATATCGACATTGTGGTATATTGGATGTTGAAATTAGTTATTTCAAGTGAAAGTTGACTATTATAATACTAAATTACTGTTGTGCACATCACTTTTTGCTTCTCGCTTCTAGGTCCATGGACTTCGTCAGTTTTCGTGCTTTTCCCTTTTAAAAAAATTAGATGCAGTGAGTAGTCATGAATTATCCAACTCTCAAAGGATCCAAATAACTGAAAAGTTCCTGTTGGGATCACCTTGCAGTCTTGCACGTCATTGTTTGACACACTTCTCTAAAGTGTATGGTTTCAACCATGAAACGACCCCTCGCTTTGCAGGTTTTAATCAGAGTTGTCAAAGGTTCATTTGAGCGCGCTTAAGCCTTGAAGCTCAGGGAGGGTGCTTCGCCTCACTTAAACTGCCTTTCGGGGTAGGCGAGGCACTGAGGCGTGCGCCTCACATTTCACATGAATTCTATCTTGAATCGAGCGGTAATAAACAACAAATACAATCTGCAAATAAGTGAATTAGTTATTAAGGAAAGCATTATGAATGAATTTGTTACTTTTTTCTTGAATTACGTTTTTTTTTCATTACACTTTTTTTTTATATAACTACAGCCCACACTTGAATTGTTTTGTGCTTAAAGCCCCAACAGACTTGGAGAGCTTTTCGCCTTTGACAACACTGGTTTTATTAACACTATAGATAACCGTGACTAAAGGCAAAGATGACTTGAGATGTAAATTGACATATGCTCTTGGGTAAAATCCATTTTGAGTTTGTTTCAACATTCTCTGCCATCGTTCCAGCTTGTCAGCATAGTGCACTTCCATTTCCTGGGATGGGGAACTACGGTAGACAATTGATTTCCCTTTATATTGCTAATAAATGTAACTGATGTTGCTTTTTCATGAATAGGTATGGGGAGGAAATCCAGCCAGGTTCCTGAGAAAGCTCACAGAAGAAGAAATAGCTTTTATCTCGCAGTCTGCTGCCAACTACACTAATTTAGCGCAGGTTCACGCTGCTGAAAATGCAAAAAGCTTTGATGCGATTGAATTTGAGAAGGTGTTGCGGAAGAAGTTTGCTCGCAAAGACGAGGAGTATGACTCTATGTTGGGTGTTGATCGTCAAACACCTCCAGAGCTTATCCTGCCTGATAATATCCAGGCACCAAAGGCCTCTTAACTGTGGTTCTAAGTTGATTATCCTTGGGTTTTTGTGGTGTTAGCCTATTTCTTTTTCTTTGGGCTGATTAAACAAGAAAACACCAACGTTTCATCTTAAATAATTAAAACCAGGCTGAAACATCAAAAGATTTAATCCTGGTTTGCCGTTCTTGCTTTCCTGTGCCGATTCCGTCTGGCTAATCAGAGCTGACTGTTGATGAGGAACCAATGATACGGTAAAAGCATAAAGTTGTTTTCGGCATTTAAAATGTGTGTTTGGTATGACCAAAGCTACTTTTCGTGGAAATTGTTTAACATAGAACTTATTTTCCTACAATATGTTTTCTTAGTGCTCCAGGAACAATGAGCGCTTCCTGCTCCATTGTTTGGTTGCTGAGTGAAAAATAGTGTTCTGAAAAAATATATATTAAGATTAGTACCAATATTGGCAGATCAGATAGTCTCCAGATGAATTTGTTGAGTATTACATATTGATGTTGGTTGCTACAAGTTATATGAAAGTAAAAGTTTAGATATTTGTAAGTTAATTTTCTTTATCCTTTTGATGGAAAATGTTTGCCAAGGAAATATATTTTGGTAGTTGAACTCCAGAAAATGACTTTCATTATACCAACTTCCAAACACCTTATTTTTCACACCCAATCCACTCAGATATGAGAAGGGCTGTATATTAAGTGGATCATTGGAGTGAATTTGCTAGACGATCTGAATGTCAAAGCTCTCAGATTATTTATGAATATGAGAAGCGTGTGTTCATGCAATTAGACGCAAGCAATTTGGCAATTGTCAAGAAACTTTAGTAGTTCGTGTTCAACTGAGAGTACATAAACCTGGATATGTGTTTGTTAGGTCAAATACATTCTTTTTTTTTTAATCAGGTCAAATATATACTGTCTATTGGAAACAGCCTCTCTACCTGCATTAACTAGGGGTAAGGTCTGCGTACAGACTACCCTCCCCAAATCCCACATATTGGAATCAAACTGGGTTTGTTGTTGTTGTTGTTGTTGTTGTTGTTGTTAGGTCAAATATATACTCTGACTCATTAGCTAATTACTCTTACTAGGTAGGGAAATCGTAGATTTCAGTCTAGAAATTCTCTTTGATAGAATTTGCTTGGGATCGGCCGTGATGATCGATATGCATGGTGCTGCTACTTCCCCATTAGTGCATTCTGAATATGTCTTTTTTTTTTTTTTTTGGTAAA